TCAGATTTTATGATATTTTAGTGAAAAGAGGACATTGAATAGCTGTGAAAGTATTTATGCTGTCTCATCCAATACTCCAGTTTCGTAATCTTATTTATGCAGTCTTAATCTCGAAAGCATGTAATATATTCTTTTATTCAGCAGAGATCCTATTGTAATGCAAACACTGTGTACAAAGAAGACAATGAAACTTAATGCTTGATTGAAGCTAAGCTTGCACACAAGAGAATTCGAAACTGGAGTATTCCTAGTTCTGATGCACACGGGTAGCCTTTCTGTCACGGTTTTGCAAGATCTTATCCAATTAGTTTACTAGCTATAAGTGTTGAACAAAAAAAAAACAGTAAGAACGATTGACCAATTTTTGACCGATTATATCATGACTACCTACACTTCAGTACAGCTAAAACAATCTTGCATCTCGTAGTTTAATATCTTTATTGCTCAATATTTACGTTTTTGAAGTTTGAATTCTTCTTATCGTTTCATTTTCCAAAATGTTAAATGTTTGGTGTTCTTCTTTTTATAGTCTTTATTTTCTTACTTAGAGTTTACAATTATATTGATTTCCTTCGCAAAGTATTTCAATAACCTAAGGTTAGTGGTTTATAGAATGATCACTTTGATCTGTCCTTTCTTGGAAACAACTTAAGTAGACAGTGGTAATGACTTCGGTTGACGTCGCCTGTTTTCATCGCTGCTTCCTGTTTCCTTTGGGCTGCACAGGAGTTTCATGTAAAGGTTTCGTGCAGTCGTGTTGAGAGCAAAGGCAATGGCGATGTAAAACCCTTGCAAAGAGCTTAGGATCACAAACACGTACCAAAGGAACACCCACCCAAACGGTGCAGCGAAGCCAAAAACCCACGTGAAGCCCATTACGGACGCTATACGTACGTAAACGCCAAAATCACGCTTGTTGGCYGRGTTGTCARCCATTYTGRCTTGGCTACGGGTAGACCTGATCGCTTTTACCGTCATGGAGAAGAAGACAATGTTGAAGACGATGATCAGTCCCAGAGGAGTTGCAAAGAAAATCCACCTGGCGTTGTTGTCAGTGATCCAGCAAGCTACACGTGACCCATACCCAATGGAAACTGCCTGTGATTGGTCAAGAGCCACACAGATTGACACGTACACCAAGGCAGAAAGCCATCCAACAGCCATATATCGTAAGGTATGCAGCAGTCTTTTGCGCTTTGAAATGGGCATGGGACGTCTTCCTTTTGCAGTGAAGGCCCTCCAAGTGTCAATGGCGATGATGGACGTCCACACGAAAGAAACCAGGAAAAAGTAGTGAAGAAGAACAGCGATGGCAGTACAAGCCATGGGGTTATCTGTCTCGTCACTACCAACAAGCCACAAGAATTGTGAGAGCAGAATGGCAACACTGAGGTTCATATGGTTAATACCTGGTGGTGTTCTTAGCTCGGTGAACAAGGAATAGGTGACGAGGACAAAGACCAGTGAAATAATCGATATTGACATGCATACAATAGTCAAATCCGAAAAGATATCATCATCTGCGTTTGAGATGATATTCCTGTTATCAGAGTTTACGAAACGTTTATCGCAAACAWATAGGTTTTGATGTACCCACATRAATTTCGGTGGATCGTAAAGAGTACGAGAAGCMTTCACATAGATGGATTTGTTGGAAAGTATCAAAAATTCGCTTTTGTTCATCAGTCCCCAGTTTCCTGGACAATTAGTTATTTGATTCATGTCAAAATTTTTTTTATCACGTACCAAGACACTGCTATTCTTCCAAATGTTTTCTGACCTTTCTGACTTATTATGCATCATCCTTGAAGCGTTAACAAACATGGATATATTTTTATGGTCTTCAGAGTGTGGCACTTGGCCTGTATTGTTGATCATAACCGTCGAGGTTTTACCTGAGGACGCAAATCCTTGATGTAAAGGATTACTCATTCTGCATTTGTTCTTACTTTTATCACAAACCTCATTATGATTACACTGACAACGTGTAGAAGGTGTAGAACTCTTAAATTTAGAAATTCTGTTGAGGAATAAATAAAAAGAAGGAAGCTTCCCAAACCCTCCGCCGTTGAATTCAATAGTGCATGTCCATAGAGAGGTTTGAAGGAATATCCACAAAAAGAAAGCAAAAGACATCGCAACGCACACCAATTGTTCAAAGCTTTACAGCCGTTAAAAGAMTTTCTTCTGGTTGGTGACTTGATTCTTCAATGGTTAACTGACTGATATCGACTAATACTGACTGAGTTAACTTTAAAGAGGTGCAGCGTTGACTGTACGTATTCAAGACTCGGACGTTGCCCAATTTTCAGATCAATTCAGCCGTAGTGTAGTGTATAGCCTCTTTTATGTAGTGTGGTGTACAAGCTGATTGAGGTTATAGTATGTCCTATTTACAATTCATAGATATGACGTTAGATAACTATTCAAACTGGTTATTGCAAGATAAGATTAGATTGGTTTAGGATGATGACATCATGACTGACTGACTACTTTCTTTAACATACTCGTAAGATAAAATAGTTTATACTTGCAGAAAAAGTCTCAATTCTAAAAGTCTCTCGTAATATTCTTCTGATGCAATGGCTATATGTTGGGCTTTATT